CCGTCTTCTTTCAGAAATCAGGAATTGATTGATATGTATCATATTTATATCGAATGATTATGAGCGACAACCAAAACACAGGGATTAGAAGGTTCTAAGGGGTTTGTAACTAAATAAACGACCCCTAATTGTCCAATCTAGGAATGATAATTTCTTTATCGGGCTTTACAGTAATCCTGACTCGAGATATCAACTCAAAGGCTTTGTGGCGTTAGCAGCTTTGGCGCTGTCTGTCATGAGACCAGGCTGGTCCATGGTGGCAGATTTACTTGCAGCTCGAAGATTTTATCTGGTGAATGGGCAAAAACTAGCCCTGGATCCTTATGAGAGGAATACCAAAACAATGAAGTATCCATAAAATTCCATGTCGCCTTGTCGTAGCAAGCACTAAATGTCTGATCAAAGACTTCATTAGCAACACTTGGACGACTTTATCAGGAGACTGGGAAGAAACGGTCGATGGTTTGTGTAATAATATGTTTGTTAACATCCGTAAAGGTTCACCACATTCCTGTCCTCATAACTTCCAAATAACAATCAAGACGTCTCTACGTGCGTTTGCATGTTCCGTTCTCAAGGACGACGATATGGAAAGGTGACGTGGGCTCACTCATCTGTTATGTTTATATTCCTCCTTTGTATTTCACTATTATGTTTTGATCTGTTTTAGAATGTCAAATTCAAGGACCGATTCACATTGAATACAGATATTGGTCTCGATTTAATTACCTTTATCTCGAATAGTGCCTGCCGTTGTGATGTTGAGGTGTTCAAAGTTTCTCAATTTCTTCATGGACAAGAGAGGTACTACACATATTTGTTGTTTCGAAAATGTGTGACCATTATAAGCTACGGTCAGAATATATGAAAATTTCAAAACATTAATTAGGAACTGTCAAAACAAATTGTTATCTGCTCTGAGCGTGCAGATAATACGCAATAGGACTAACTGCAACAATTGAATTCTGGTCACCTTACGATAGAACGACGTCAACTTTCGATGTTTTGTCCAACTTGGTCAACCTAGTGATTAGGCAAAATCTGCGTCAACGTTAAGCTTTAAGAATAGTCAACCTAAATGACTATGCAACATCGCAGTTTGTCACGATTAATTGTTCAACTGACAGATCATCTTTAAGTGCGTGAGTGAGTTTTACGCAGCTTTTAGCAATAATCCAGCAATATCACAGCGGGGAACACAAGAAATGGGCTTCACACATTCTATCTATGTGGGGAATCGAATCCGAGTGTTCGACTGACAGATCATCTTTAAATGAGTGAGTGAGTTGAGTTTTACGCCGCTTTTAGCAATATTCCAGCATTATCACACACCAGAAATGGGATTCACACATTGTATCTATTTTGGGAATCGAACCCGAGTGTGACGAGCGAACGCTTTAACCACTAGGCTACCCCACTGCCCCCCATCTTTAAGAATAATGAAAACAAAGACAATACTGGTGAAATAAAGCAGGGATGGTTACGCATTGTTTAGTGTGAGTGGCTTTTAGGTGGATTTTAGCAACAACCCAGCAATATCGCGGCGGGGGAAGGGGGGGGGACGTGAAATAAGCTCCACAAATTATACTAATGTCGGGAATCGAACCCGGGTCTTACTCGTTACGAGTGGATGCTTTAACCACAAGGCAAACTCACGGCCCCTCACATGTATTAAATACTGGATTTATGTACCTTTATGTAGTCTTTATTAGGACTTAAACCAGGAAGGCAAAACCATCTTCATCACCGTGTTCAGACATAATAAAACGGACATGTATGCGAATGGCCTGCATCCGTGATGAGTACTGGTGTACCCACTGAGGTTATAGTGATGACATCGATCTGCAGCGTCTGGGTTCCGATGACACTCTACTGTACCTACGTTTATCTTACAGCTTTATTTGAGAGCGATGACAATGATGAGCTGTCTTCGGTTGCATTGAAAGGGGCACACTGTGTCACAAACCGTCTTCTTAACGACTTGATGGTATCCACACATGACTAATTACTTCTTAGATGCTATTTGATGAACAGAGAGACTTTTCTGGGTTTCATCTTCTTGTTATTATTTATACAAATAAAAAAGAAGATGAAACCATGTTAAAGTCTCTCTAATTACTTCTTTACAGAATATTGGAAAGTACTTAAAATAGACTCTAGATTTATTGTTTTAATTGTACGATATTACAATTGTATATGAGTACTACTTCATTTAATTGCAGTATCTTTTTTCTTCACGTCAAGCGTCGTATAGGCAACATGTTTGTGAAGAAAATTATATTTCCTTAAGATATATTGCATATATCGATAGTCTGATGTGGGGATAGATACGTGTATGGGTTGTAGTCGCCGCACGTTTCTGTCAAGAGCTGGGTCCCTTTGCGTGACGGGAACCTATGATCGTAGGTTCGAATCCCAGTTCGTCATCATTAGTTGTCTATGCCCCACAGCACCATTAACGTGCTCATGGTATTCATCTCCAGCTCCAATCTGAAACGCCTGATATAGACGTTTAACTGTGAAGCGGCGTTAAGCCTGCGTTCACTCACACAGACAAGTCTTTTTCCCAGCCGCCATATATCTGTCGTTCTGAAATCTGTGACACATGCACAGTAATGTTCAGGTTTGATGTGGACTACTTGTGGGTTTCACAATGGTACCAATGGTACTGTCACTCGGTCATGGTCTTCGTGAGTGAGTGTTTGAGTGTTTGAGTGAGTGAGTGAGTTTTAGTTCAGGGCCGCTTTTAGCAAAAACCCAGCAGTATGGCAGTGGGGGACACTAGGAATGAATCTAACACAGTATACCCTTGTGGAGGATCGAGTCCGGGTCTTAGGCGTGACGAGCGAACGATTTAACCACTAGGTTACCTCCCTCCTCCTTTACAGCAGATGTGTTGACTGTCAAATATGTGTATTTTTAATAATTTAGTGACTTTTACAATGCCAACCTCAATTTCACTTAACAGCATAAAAATAGTGTAATGATAACATCTAAATTTAAAATGGTTTGTCATTTAACCTTTTATATCAAAACAATTCCAATTACATGTATGTCAATCACAACGACCTACATATCCACTAGACAAATGATGATGTGGTCTAGACATATCCTCCGCACTCCTGCTATCATTTCAAATGTTAAGTCGCACTTGATAAATCATTCCCAGGAAATATCACAGATTACCTTTACAATAAAGTCTGTCATTTTAACCAACAACACTTCCTGCACCGCGTGGAGACGACACCACTGGCAACGTGATCACTGCAGGACAAAGCCGTATGATGAACTGTTTCGAGTAGGCCCTTCATCTTGTCTTGAAACGGTTAAACCGGCAATACTGTTAAAGTTTAAAGGATTCAAATAAGGTTGTGTAATTTCCTTAGGGACTTCTTCCTCGGTGATCATCGTAGATGCTGAGGTAATGGGATTGCAATGAGTGTATAAAACAGCCGCGTGGTGCATTTTTTAGCTGTTATCACTGACAGAGATTGATTATGATAATTTCAGCTTATGCTGAAACATATGAAGGTTTGTTTTCGTTAAGGACAATAGATAGACTTGGTAACAGGAGACATGGAACCACAACGCTTTTGAATACCATCAAATACTAACTAAAAGTGAGCGAGTAAGGTTTTACGTCGCTCTTAGCAATACTCCACCAATGTCACGGCGGGGGACACCAGAAATGGGCTCCACACATCGTGTGTTATCAATGTGAAGAATCGAACCCGGTCTTCTGTGATAACACCAAAGACCTTACCCACTGAGCTATCCAACGTCTGTTGTATATGTAACCCGGGTTCGATTCTGCACATGGATAACACACATTGTTGACCTCTGCCTTGACATCGATGGTTTAAAGCTGGTGTTACATTCTCATTTTCTATGGTTGATCCTGGGGTACATACAAAGAGAAGATGACATTTTGCCTGATATATGTGGCTGGTTTAAATTTATTGCATTTTGGTTAGCAAATATTTAATTGCTTTCTGTGTACTTAAATGCACGTATGCAATACCGGTTTCTGTGAATTACGAATAACCAGCTATTTGCAGAAAATATTACATGAGATCCCCCGAAAGAACCTAATTTAAGCTGAATAAGCAAACTATTTCTCTTCTATCTCAGTTAACATGATTGTCTTTTAAAGAGTAAATATATTATCCTGACTGTCATCTATAATGAGACACTTGGAAATAACAAAGTGAATCTTTAGAATCAAATATCGCAATATCGTCTAATCGAAGACTTCAATACAGTAGTTCATCTATTTTTGCCAAGTCAAAACCCCAGTAAACCCGTCTGACATCATGGTCTTAACGAATTCACCAACTACATCCTTAATCAGTGTATTCCCAAGACAGCTCGGGATCCAACGCTACAGTTTGACAGAACGACGAACACCATTTGGCCTTGGAAGCCAATTTCACTGCTCAGCGTCCCACAGCCATGCTGGAACCGGCAAAATATACAGATGAATAACCACTTGCGAAATAAGCTGTTCTCACAAATACCTCACTGAAAAAAGTAGAGGAATTAAGCTCATTACTGCTTGTTGTCAATTTGGAAAAGGGGATTTGCTAGATTGGGTATTTGGCGAAGTGTTCCCCTAACCCTTGCTCTTATCATTAGGGTCTGTGGATCAATGACAAGAAGTCTCATGGAAATGTGCAATGTACCGATGGATCCTCCTGAGAAATCAAGTCGAAATTGGTGACAGGAATGGACTGCCTCGGCTACCCTACACAATGAAAGTTGGAGATTTACTTCGCATTTGTTCGAAAAGAATTCTTTAATTCGACTCACCAGTGAAAGAGGCTGGAGTGTATTAATGACATATACATTCTCTAGACTACATTTCTAGACGTCCCATCTGAACAGAAACGTGGCGATGACATATCCACAGCAAAACAAGTTGTGCTAAGTTGTGAACAAAGTGTTTATTTACAAGACATGTATTTTTATTGCATAATACATCAACCCTCATTCTATACAACGTTGCCTTTTAAGCTGTTTCAGTTTTCACCCACAGTGTGAAATTACAAGCAATACAGAACAGAAAAATAGTTTTAAGTATGTTCAAGATATTAACGCCATGCATTCAGCAAACCTTAACGACACAACGACATTAGATGTCAGGTAATAACGTAACGACATAGGTAAAGAACTAGCAACCAACTTTTTGAAACAAGAAAAAGGTGAAAATAGTCAGCTTTCCATTAAGTAAAGATATCCTATCCAATACAAAGTGTTTAAAATTATAAATGACCCCGGAAACATTATCCTTGCTGTCTTGTCTATTCGGTTCACGTTGGTTCCGGGTTCGTAGGCAGTTAACTCGCTCTTTGCAGGCCTGTAGTTGCTACTGCCGATCAAACAACGCCAGGAGTTGGCGCAGCAACTGCTGCTGTATCTACTCGTCTCCATCTCAATGCATTCATCCCCTTCTATCAGAATCTCCCGTTCCCGTTCATCCGTCTCGTTTACGTAGATAGCTTTTCTTTGAGGCGGAGGTGGAACCTGAAATTGAAAGACAAAGGTGAGTTGGTGCTGAATTCAGATTGGTTGTCAGATTCCTGACACAGACGTTTTCTTTACTTTTTATAATTTCTACGTGTCCAATATGTTTTTTTCCACAGGTTAAATTGGGGAAATGTCTTTATTCGGATCGGCAATAGGATTCCTGTTTTCGTGAGTATTGTCGTGTAAATTTGAATGGCATTTATCTGAAAACCTTGCTGTAAGCTGATTCTAGAGCGAAAGGTTTCGTCAGCTTTTTGTTTATTTTTCAACACCTCCGCAGCAATATCGGCATTATCATGGCGGTCTATAACAATGGTTATCTTGCCTAACACAAAAATGTCGTTTTCTGATTGGCTGAGCGCTGCAGCCCGCTTACACGCGAGTAACATATTCTATGTACCCCACTGGGAATGCCGAAGTCATTTGGTACTTCGTAGTAGTAATTCTTTATCTCGAATGATATTGAATCACGTATGATATACGGAAATTTTCGATGTTTTGCGAATGCGAAACGACCAACGCCTCTTACGACAAGCATTGACAAGTTTCGTCCAGAGTAGGGTCATATTGGTTTTAATGGCTGTGCACGTCGACATTGCTGCTATGGGATATTTTGTATTCTTATCAACGGTGAAAATGAGCTGTGATACCTTCAGATATCTTCTGCATATACTATTTTATGGTTAGATTAGATTTCCGAAATGGCCAAAAAGAAGGAACCTTTATGTCAGGTTGACTTTCCCATCAGAAAAACTTATTTAGGCTCTGTCCAATCTAACAATATCAGAATTCCACCTTTGCGTCGTTAAGGATGTAATTTAACCACATATTTGTATCAAAATAGCTTTGTATTGTGTGGATATGTTCATTTAATCTGCTCATTAGACATTAAGCTACAGTTTTCAAAGTTGCAGAATAAACATAAGTGTCCCCATGTAGATTGTTCCTGTAGATATGGGATACAATATTCTTTCAGTGTTGCTTTTAGAATTGTGCATACTTTCAGTTTCCCATACATCAAAGCAAATCCCTAACATTCCGTACACTACAAGTCTATAAAATATGAAGAAGTGCTCCTCTGAACATGTTCCTAATGCATTTGTGAGAATCTTTAGATCAAACCTTACCACATTAGTGGAGTGTCATGAGTGACATGTATAATCTGTCACCCTTTCCGAAGCATTTTCCTGAAAGTATTTAAAGACATGACCAGTAAAGCAACGCTTTGCTACACCCCTTATTCCATCTTCATCGTTTAAGAACCGACATCAAAACTGTGCGGTACTTCATCTTCTTTCATCACAAGCATATTCAGACATCGAACACAAATGCTCTGTATTGTCCCGAAGCAGACATTGTGATTATGTGATCATCATTCGGAGAGCCCTTCGTCTGAAGTAGTGGCCAATGAGTTTACTAGACACATACATATTGCTTTTTCACACTGGAAGTGCTCCACCAAATCTTCACTGCGATAATAACACCTCGCATAGAAGAATTGTTGAGACAATCAATACTGGTGACCAGTTCAGCAGACAAACAGCAGTTGTAATAAAGCACATTATATGCTGCTTGTAATGCTGGATTTTAGTGTATATTGCGGGTCCTCTATATGAGACGACGCAAACTAGAAGTATTTGATGTTTGATCCTCTCATAGACGAACAAAAAGGTAAAACAATGTCAAATATGTAAATTTGAGGACTGTTGTTTGTTTCATAATTTGAGGATTGAAAGTCCCGTACACATGCTTATGTTTCAAAAATTCGCGTTTAAGAATTATATCTGACCATCTCTGCATTTCTGATAGTGGACTGGAATGTTTTGGAAGCATATGTTTGGCGTCACATGCCTATGGTTTTACAAGAGACTACAGCTCCATATAAAAGGTACGCCATAATCCCAAGTATAGTTCTTTGTCAACCTAATTTGACTGTCGAGTATAGACAGGAGTCTATTTTTGATTTTCCATCTTTTGAAAGATCCACCTCCACCGTTTCCCAGCCCATTAATGCAACCACACACAAAAGTATGCTAATGCCAAATGTTCAGACCTTTAGAGGGCTGACAGGGTGACTCACATCTCTTCATGCGTTACACGTCCCAATAAAAATGGTCCGAATCCAATTAGTCCTCGCCATGATCTTTTGGTTTGTGGGCAATATTCCAGTCATGTCCTCCTAATGTTCAACAAAGACAAGAGCTTGTGGCACACAAAGAACAGGATTTGACAATTCCGCTCTGTCTTCCTTGAAACCACAGCTTCTGAATGTCTAAACTCAAGGTATAAATCGTCCGTGATCTTCTTTTACTTGATTTAGTAAACGTGAACATTTTGTAATACTATTCAAAATACCGTTGTTAGCAACTCTTTTCTCTTAATTTGATGACACTGGCACTGTACATCTTACATGTAAAAGGTTTACATCTTCGGATTAAAAGCAGTACGTTCTGAAAAAAAGATCCCCAGTGCAGTATCCCTTGACTAGTGTTCTGCCAACAAACCTAATGAGATGGAAGGCAAGACCTATAATGTTATATTTTGTTCCAAGGGAATAGTGGTAAATGTCAAGCTTGACATAATGGATAAATTGGTCGACTGCAGTGAACTTGATCCACGTATGTGGCCACGGTTTGCATCTGTTTGCATAGAAAATTGATAAAAAGCCGCCCAAATTTTCTGTGATGCAAAAATTGTATTACCTCGTATGATTGCACTGACAATGATGGAACCCAGAGAATTCCAATATTTCCTTTTAACAAAATTGGTGATATCATTCTGTGTCATGCTGTTTCCAATATCTAGTGAAGTGCCAAACCATTTTTATATGTTTGACAAGTCTGTTATTATACTTGTAAGCATACACGGGGAACGGGATGAGTTACATCCTTTCAGTCCCATAAAAAACCTAACCAACAACGCATCCCTTTCACATGGACAAAATCGATAATTATGTTACCACTAGGTATGTCGAGACGCGTCTCGCACAGCTGAAATTTCATAGATATGATTTCCTCGCGAGCCATGGCAAAAGAAATGCACTTAAAAAGTTTCTTAGAATTGAAACCTTCCGCTGAAGGGAATTTGGTTTATTGTCAATTTGAATTGTTACAGTATTTCATTTATATCAAGGCGTGCTACCTTGAAGTTGGAGGAAAGTCTGATCTGATGCATGCTGCTTGTTTAACGACTGAGCATAGGTATGTGTTGACTCAGTGGGAATCAGAGCTAAGACGAATCTAAGATTTAAGCCGATCATATGCCATTGACACTGATAAGGGCCGCAACTCTTCCGGGCAAAGAGAATTGACGATTAAATGGCTGAGCACGCAAGCATTATGTTCTAACACGTTATCAGAGGTTGCTAAGCTATCTGTATGGCAACCTTCAACATACTGATGGAGAAAGGTGATGTTTTGGAGATGACATGTCTTGGAGCTGATTTGCGCATGCGTTAACATTGAGAGCGCGAGTCAGAAGAGTTGGGCCAGAGCGGAATGTGACAGAAACGGAGTGAGCTTTTATTTTTTTTTCAGATTCACGACAGCGCATTCACATTAAGTGTAAATATATATGCAGATTGTGTAATTCTATGACTTTTTATATTTCTTATATGTGGAGATTCGGGTTTGAATCGATCTTCAGTAGCCCCTGCTTGTCGGATGACCCGACGAAACGGATAGGGTTGACTTGATTGACACATGTCATCGTGTTCACTGCATACATGCTCATGATGTCATTTACTGACCGCCTTCATACAGCTGGAATTGTGCCGACTGCAGCTTTAAACAATAAACATGATTTCCTTCGTAATAAATCCGTGAAAATCCGCGTTGGAATTGGCCTTCATCAACCCATGGCCATGCATGTCGTAAGAGGCGACTAACGGGATCGGATGGTCAGGCTCGCTGACACGTCATCGTATCCCAATTGCGTAGGTCGATGTTCATGATGTTGATCACTGGATTATCTGGTCTAAACTCGATTATTTACAGACTGCCGAAAACATGTAGCTTGAATATTGCTGAGTGCGACGTTAAACAACAAACGAACCAACCACCCATTCTTTCGTGATAACTATTGTTGGATAACCTTGGCCCTTATTACCAGTGTTATCCTTTGAGCACAGAAAGATGCGTGGATATAATGCAGCACAGGATGTTAAGTAATCGGCATCAATAGTCTATGAAAATGAAACTGTGTAAGCGCTAGTTATTAACTGGATATGTATTTCCGGAAGTCTGCCTGAAGCCAGCAGTCGGTGTTTCATGGTCCGGCCCTCGTGGGAACATTCGGTTACATTCGTTCCTGGTGACTTATTGATGTCGTGAGGATGGACAAAATGGGATCATTTGGTCTGCTGGCTTTTTCACTTGGATGGTTGTGTGTCATGGTGCCCCATAGCGTTCATCGTTGCTCCGGTTTTCATTATAGACAACCTTTATGGATAACAACTTCTTTATTTCGTGAGTGCAACGTTTCGATACAAATTCGTTTACCGTTGTCAAGCAGGAATCTGTATCGAAACGTCGCACTCACGAAAAATAAAAAGTAAGTATCCATAAAGATTGTCTACATTGTGCTTCCAAACTTCTAAAATGTCACTCGAAAAAGTTATCCGGTTTTCATCTTGCTAAATAAAATCACATCTTAGCGCTGCACAAGGATAGGACAGGTACAGCCCCTTACAGGTTACGTCTAAACAGCCTTTCATTCGACAAACAAGTGCGTCGCTTGCAAGATCGCGAACGTAAAAATCCGAATGTGTTTTTTTCAATCATGCATCCTCGGAAATGGTTAACTCGGGACATTCCGAACGTCAGTTACAGGCTGTACGACTGATTCCGTATGCTAGACGCCGTCTATCTCTCGCTTCAATTGGAAAAAAAACACATTTGAAACGGAAGAGACTTTCCGTAGCCCGTCGGAAGTACTGCCATACAATCTGGGCCATCTCGAAGTCATCCAGAATATTCTTTTGCTCAATTTTCACATGTTGAATCGAGAAATGTATTCGATTTTTTTTTTAATTTTCTTTAATTCTGGAATGAAGGTCGACATTTTTAAAAGTTGTGTCGTAAACCACAGGAAATCTGTTATCTGACAGGCTAAGGTCACAGGAAAATACTACTAATAATAATAATGCTAATTTTTTGCGCCTAGAATCCAACGCGATGCTGTTCTCTGGCGTTACATTATTACCCTGACGGAATTGTACTTTCAAAGCTGCTACTAAGCGCTAAGCGCGACCGTATAGGTCCGTACATCCGCTTTTCAGGTACCCATTTTAAACAGCTGGGTGGACTGAGTGCAATGCGGACGAAGTGCCTTGCCCAGGGACACAACACAGTATGAGACCCAGGTCACAAATTTTGGTGTCTCCACCGGGATTCGAACCCGGGCCTTTGCCGTGAGAGGCCAGCATGCTAACCACTACACCACTATGATGTGAAGTTCGAGAAACGTCTTCCTTACGTGACTTAACATGGGATGTCCTGCGATTTCTGTGCAGCCATTGCAAACACTGAGATTAGCAAGCGAGTGATCGATATTATGAGCAAATATCCATGACATCTGGTTACGCTGCGACGGTAACAGACAAATCATCGCAACAACGATTGGCGTAAGACCGGCATAGGTTGCTTGGGGCTATTGTAAGGTGAATCTTCATTCCATTTCATCACAGGTTTATCTGTAGATATGGGGTAGCATGTTCCTGTTGTCTCCCGCCGTGATAGTGCTGGAATATTGCTGAAAGCGGCGTAAAACCTATTCTCTCATTATCTATAGATCTCTGTGTGTGCGTGTGTGCTTGTGTGTGTGTGTGTGTGTGTGTGTGACGCAGGGCACTTCACAAATTACTTTACCAAATTATCCAAACCAAGATACATAAATCTTTGTCACTTGTCACTGTGAAAAACAAGCAGGATACAGCTGAATTTATATGTATAATCTTCATAGATATTCATATCCCGTCATATTTTGGATCAGCTAAAATTATTTTGTCACAGAATAGACTATAGTCACAAGGGTCTTAAACGTTTACCATTTTGATGAAACCTTATAACAAACGTATGCCTCTGCAGACTTGGGATCATGACCCATGCGGATGTGGATTCGAACCAAAAGGAAGAGAGATATGAGAGAAGGCGCATGCGCAAAATCGAAGTTGCGGGCTCCTCGTTTTATGATGCAGTGTTAGCGATTTAAAGTTGCCGTTTTTACTGTTTCAGTAGCGAGGTATTATGTTTATGTTGCTATTTCCACGATTAATGTGGGCTTTTCTGCGTTTTTCTGCACAGTGGGAAAGTTTTCTTTGGTAGGCCTGAAATTGCAGTGGAATTATGTACTTCAAAATCTGGTCAATGTTGGTTCCAGCATTTCTCAAAAATTTCGTTGCATACAAATATGAGCGACTAGAAGCAAAAGAATAAAGAGGGATGTGTATTTAGCATACCATCTCCTATGTCCCGTTGAGCTATGTACAGTATATGTCTAGGCTACCGAACTAATGTTATTCACTTACAATTTCATCTTCATCCTCTTCGTGCGGTGCATTAAGTTTGGCGCATATTGTCATGAAGTAGTTGACCGCCGCGTACTCGATCAGGGCCGCCATCTCGTACACCAAGCACACGTTGAGGAAAATGTCTAATGCCGTGGCGTATGGCACTCTGGGTAACCCTTCTCTAACAGTCATCCCAATAGCAGCGGTGCTCAGGATTGTTGTAACTCCTGTAAAACAAGATCTGATAATGACATTTCTGGTAATGTTTAGGTTAGGTTTCCAAATGTCTGATAATGTTTGGTTTGCAATCTTTCCAAACTTATGATAATGTTCGAGTTGTGATGTTTTCATATGTCTGATAATGTTTGGGTTGTAATGTTTCCAAATGTCTGATAATGTTTGTGTTGTAATGTTTCCAAATTTATGATAATGTTTGTGTTGTAATGTTTCCAAATTTATGATAATGTCTGGGTTGTAATGTTTCCACATGTCTGATAATATTTGGGTTGTAATGTTTCCAAATTTATGATAATATTTGTGTTGTAATGTTTCCAAATTTATGATAATATTTGGGTTGTAATGTTTCCAAATTTATGATAATGTTTGTGTTGTAATGTTTCCAAATTTATGATAATGTTTGGGTTGTAATGTTTCCACATGTCTGATAATGTTTGTGTTGTAATGTTTCCAAATTTATGATAATATTTGGGTTGTAATGCTTCCAAATGTCTGATAATACTTGGGTTGTAATGTTTCCAAATGTCTGATAATATTTGGGTTGTAATGTTTCCACATGTCTGATAATGTTTGGGTTGTAATGTTTCCAAATGTATGATAATATTTGGGTTGTAATGTTTCCACATGTCTGATAATGTTTGGGTTGTAATGTGTCCAAATGTCTGATAATGTTTGGATTGTAATGTTTCCAAATTTATGATAATGTTTGTGTTGTAATGTTTCCAAATGTTCCAGCAACGCTGCATTTTCATTCATTGCATATTATGAAATTATTGCGAGTCGCTTTGACTTAAACTAAAACTAATCATCAAACGAGAAACGCCACAATTGATATAGCATGTTGTGATAGTAGTTTGACTGGATATTAATGTCAAATACAATCATCAGAAACTAATTGTAACTTCAAAACAAATAACAGGTGGTTCCAACATGACATTACAATATTCTCCATAGTGTCGCTTTTATAAAGTAAGCAAGGAAAACTTATAACTGGACTACTCTCATATGTTAATGAATGTTAAGCGCATCCTGACAAGACCAAGTGACGTCACATGCAGAAAACGTTGTTCCAATATTCCACTGGAAATTAAGTGACGTTAACGTTTGTGAATACAAGCCATCGATGACACAGAATGCTCAAAAACAATCTTTTCCCCTCTTGTAAACTTAAAATACATACATGAATTATTATAATGAATGAATGAATGAGAATGCTTTTACGCCGCTTCAGCAAGATTTCTAGTGAGTGAGTGTGGTTTTACGCCGCCGTTAGCAATATTCCAGCAATATCACGGCGGGGGACACCAGAAATGAGCTTCACACAGTGAACCAATATGGGGAATCGAACCCGGGCCTTCGGCGTGACGAGCGACTTAGACCACTAGACTTCCCCACCGCCCAGCAGAATTTCTAAATTTGGAACGCCGGAAATGGTTTTACCGATAATAGCAATTCGAACAAGCTTATAGTTAACCACTAGACCACCCACGGGCAAACTGTCACACTGACACAACGAATACATTGCGACACTAAATGTAATGCATGTTCTTACCTAGCAATACTCTCGCAGGTGCAGCGTCACTATTGATCCAAAATGATATCCATGAAAGGGAGGTAATCAGGTAGCAAGGGAGATAAGTCTGCAGGATGTAAAATCCAATATGGCGATGCATATGTATGTCAACTCCAAGAATAGAAAATTTTCCTGAAATGAAAATGTGGTAATTTGAATTACTAAGTCGGTACAGTTAATTTCCTTCTGGAAGAATGCTATCATGGGGAGTGTAAATACATCCAGCTGGTTTCGGAAATATCTTCCGCATTCAACTTCCGAGCCGATTTTAACACAAGAACGTCACGGTAATGGCCGGTTTCAAAAATGATTCTTTGAAGCTTACATTTAAATACTGGAGTACAAGTTCTATTTGTTATACACATAGACGTTCATCGAAACCCCGGCAACTCAATGACATCATCCAGATTTTAAAATGGTTGGAATAAAATGGAAATGCCGACTGATTTATTTGGTTATAGACTTCTAACACTTTTGTTTGGTTCCATTGTTTGGAAAGCGAAAATTGAGGACTATCGATGTTTCTGTGTCCACACACGGCCACTATTATTGGGAGTTCGCCGTGTTGCCAACATTCAGTCACACACGTATCATTGTTAAATATGTACTCTGATGGCTAAGCTATTTGTGCTCTTAATTCACTCTGTAACATAATCGTTTCCTGTTTATTCAGTTTTCTCGGTGATTAACAACTAAGATCACTGCACACCGAAACATCACAGCAGGGTATAAGAATTCTACCTTACTATAACCATGATTTCTTCCTCTAGAATCCTACATTCATTGTTGCGTATCTTATGTGCGCCTTAATTATTCAATGACAAATGATTTGTATTTTGGACCAGAGGCCTTTATATTGAATAAAACTGTCTGTCTGTCTGATATCTTAATATATCGATATATTGGTAACGATTATAAGCTGGTGATGTTCTTTAAATTTCATTTTAAATAAGATACGGAATTCTATCAAATTAAGAGATTTATTAACACTGAAAAACATGTCATAGTAGACATATACACACATGTTCATCACAATAAAACTTATTCGTGCGGTAGGTATTATTAAATTCCCCTAGATTATCGAGATAACCTTTTCATATTTGACGTGATTCAATTTGTATGTATCCGCTTGGCTTCATAAATAATATCGGTGGAAGTAACCAACCTGACTAGACATGAAATGACTTATATCAGCCAATCTACTTTTTAACCGAAGGCTAGCATATGTTATTGTGTTCAATTTCCCCTTTCATATCTCTGTTTCCGTGTAATCATTAATATTTCATCAAACCCCGTTTAAGATATGTTATCTCTGAAACACAATGATCGAAGGGTTCCATCTCTGTGGAGCAGGCGTTGTTCATCTCGGTGTTGTCTGCTGTCTGTCTGGATCGACGTGCTAATATTCGCGGATGGATTACATTATTTCCAGAACGCGTGGCCTGATTATCTGACCCAATAATCTGTGTGTGTTTTCTGGTATTGGTTGCGGTGGAAATAGCTTCTGCATATAAGTGTCTGATGAACAGACATTGTAATTATATAAACCGAAGGTAGATCGTAAAGCAAAGTTTAATGTACTCTATCGTTTTACTTTGATGGTTGTATACAAATATGGGTAGATCCAGAGGCTAAAATGAAGATTTGATATCTTTTGGACAGAGCTACAGGTACGTCTGATCTACAGTAAATTACCTTATAACGAACACGTTGATGAAGTACTGACGTATGTTTTAACGAACTACTGTTATGTCAAAGTAACTTTAGTCGTCCTTTTCAAGTTCCTATAACCATAGTGTTTGTTTGTTTGTTTGTTGTTTAACACTGCACTTAGCAACAACCGTAGTGTATTGTGCAAATGACGATAAAAGTGGACTCAGTAGAAAGTGTCTAATTTATATGCATATATATTTTTTCTTGCATTTGAACTCAGGCATCACTACTCAATGTCAAATCTTATAGCTGTTTCTCATTACCGTACGTCACGATATGGCTGAAATACTGCCGATGTGACGTTAAATAATAACTCACTCACTCATTCACTCATTACCGTACACTCGAACGCGTGCGTTTGATACGGTCGGAATCGTAGGTGGACAATGAACATATCTTATGATTATGGAATCGGTTTTGTCCCTGTTACAATCGTTATTTGAAACATTGCTGCAACCATTGAGTAGAAATTTCAAATCATACTGTATGATTTGTGAAACAATGATCATTCATTGTCATGTCAGTAAAAGAGGATATTACATCAGGAAACGAGTATCGCGAATAGGACTATGCTACCCAGTATGAATACGACATCAATGAAACCTTTAACCGTGAACACAGAAATTCGATAATATCGTTCGGTTACAATGGGCAATTTGTAACGCGTTTGGACTCCAACTAACTCTGATCTATATACCTGGTGGTGAAACCCAGTAGGTAAAAGCGTCAAAATCATTTAGATAATTATACGACTGAAAGTGGAGCCGTTTTTCGTCTATATCATATGCATGTCTTTATCAACTACTATCAATGATACCAGGTGTTTGCCAAATGGTGACTAAAACACATGCATCAGAAACACATGCTAAGGCAAGTCAAGTGTTCGCTTGAAACATAATGAGAAGATTTAGTACAGGTCAAAATTGGTGCATTGCTGCATTAGCAAGAAAAAGAAATTCAAGTTTCGGTTTTATGGGTAAATTCTACAAGGCTTCAGCTATACCAAACACGACAATAATATGTTTACCTAAAGTATTTCTTGACGTCGTGTTGTATGTTTCAATTATTCCAAGCTCAAACGTTGACATTGTCAGACCTTCATACGTATCGACCGCCCCCTTCCAGAAGTATACCATATCGTCCGTGGTATAGCCAACTGAAACAATGAGATATGGAGTTTAGCCAGTGTTAAACTTCCAGAAGTATACCATACCGTCCATGGTAGATTTTAGCCCATGTTAAACTAGCCATCTGGTAAACAATGATATATGGAGTTTAGCCCATGTTAAACTTCAAGAAGTACACCATGTCATCCTTGGTACAGCCAACTGAAACAAGGAGATATGAATGGAGTTTAGCTCATGTTAAAGTATCATCATGACTTTCCAGGTAATAATTGTACTTCAGCAAAACTCGTTGTATTAGTTCATAAAAGTCAAAGAAGTTTAAGGCGACATGAAAGTCAACACATCTCTGCGTCAGTCATGTGATATTCTGATGTGCATAGTGCATGAGCTGTGCCTTGTGGTGCTTCAGTTTTTAAGTGCCATAGCCATATCGCGCAAGCCCCAAATGTTATGTACATACAGGTTGTCGACGATTCGTAACGTTTCTGAAACCCAGAGGCATGCAATTGTACTGACAAAGGAACATTGTCTAGGCGAATTCTCTAACAGCGAGTCCTCGAACGACTGCAAGGGTTCACTTCAAAGTGAATTCTTCTGGAACACTATAGCTAGTAACCCAGACAACACCCAAATCTCTCTTATTTGACGCGAGTACCTTAAACATGTCCTGTGACACATCTAACGCAAGCTCATCCTGCTTTTAATTGATATCAGATGCTATGTCTTCCCTTGCAATTTAAAGATGAACAACCGATTACATAAATCTACTTTACAACAGAATACGATTATTCGGAACAATTTGGTTGCTAACATCAGAATGAGTGAGGGGAATTAATCAATATCCCAATTTCAGATGAATGATGGCCGCCAATACATTGGTTTTTAAATTAGAGTTGTTTTCCAAGCGATCCAGTGAGTTATATTTCAGAGGTGGTTACCGTTCAAAATCGCATTCCATGCGTTTTTGTGTGTTTGCATTTCATTATTGTCCTATCAAGAAGCTGCCGGAGCGATCACATCTCCACACGGATCACAGACGTGGTATTTGTGATGGGTTAAAGGTCTCTGGTCGGGGAAGAAATGGAACTTATTTCATCATGTCTGAGATATTTGCCTGACAAACCGTAATCTATTTCCAATTAAAACATTCAGAAATAATGATGGGTTTGGAACATATTTGAATATGTACTTGTGTTTCATCGATGGTCTCTAAATCGGAGCCAGATGTCAGGTTACAGGGTGACCACCAGTCCCTGATGTTGATATGATGTATTTTTGTCAGAAATATGTCAAAATACAATCTTGTTTTGTTGTGAAAATATAGAAGAAGGTAACGGGAAATCTAATGGGGTGTTAATTTTGACACCGGACACAATAACAAATTGGTATGGCTGCTATATCTTTGGTAGAAGAAATGGCGTTCGTAAATTATCCTTTTACAACTTTCCAATATATTATGAGAAAAGTGACAGAACCTTTCCATTATGCATGAGCAATCGATGCTAAACATAGAAGTGTATTTACGTTTTGGGTTGTAGCATAATCATCTGTTTATAAATGACTATCAAATGAGTGAGTGAGTTTAGTTTTACGCCGCACTCAGCAATATTCCAGCTATATGGTTGCGGTCTGTAAATAATCGAGTCTGGACCAGACAATCCAGTGATCAACAGCATGAGCATCGATCTGCGCAATTGGGAACCCGTGACATGTGTCAACCAAGTCAGCGAGCCTGACCACCCGTGATTAAACACGCAAACATATGGTACAAGTACTATCAGGTAATTGTCAAATTCCTGCAAATTGTAATTCCTGCATTCTGATTCGCTGAACTGGTCACTTGTTATAACTTTCATTTCCAAACAAATTACACTGTGGACGATTCATATGTGACTGTGTGGGTGTGGGTGTGGGTGTGGGTGTAGGTGTGGGTGGGTGTCCCAAGCCCAGACTTTTGCCAGTTTTGTAGTGCTAACTAATTTAAATACCCTGTCGCAATTAAACATGGATATCAAACAGTGTATTGACTTCAAGACTACCAAACTTTGATTTATGCCCCAAAAGCACTTATAGCCATTCCCTTAATTCCCAGGGTAGCCACGGTAACAACAAGTACCATCTTTCATGTGGGCGGGGATCGAACCACAGACCTTCCGCTCTCCGGGCAAACGCTTTAAACACTAAGCCACGAAAGTGATCTAATTGAATGTCGATTGCAGTTCTCTTTTATTCAAATGCAGCCACACGAGTTCTGTTTAAACTCAGATTCAAGTTACAACCTGCATATACACGCATTTCACTGTCTATAAGAAGTATACGATAACACCTCAGACAATGTTTCACAGAAACTGCAACATATGTCTATCAGCGTTACAGAGACAATAGACTGTTTCGACAGAAGACAACAGGAGCAGCTGGTCTTCACAGGAAGTGACGTAATCAGAGGATTTAGAGTAATCCCCCCTGGATGCACAGCCTGCATATAAATTGGCCTGCCTGCCCATAGAGAATCAATGATAATGTCTCAAGTACGTGGCAAGATACAACTTGCATCAGAATGGTGGTCATCAAATGTTCTTTGTCCACGAATGGAGCCGATAGTAATGTGGTATAAGCATGGAAGAGGTAACAAGAAAACCGCTGAATGCGTAATATAATTTCCCATCGGGTAACGGGTTGATCCAGGGTATTAAAGGATCACGGAGTAACGCTAGGGGATATATGACTGATCATTGTCTTATGTGGAGATGTACCACTCAGCGTACATTGCTGCCGTCTCTGTTTTTGTCTCTCCTGTTTTTGTCTGAATGTGTGAAAGAAAGCGGAGACAAAGGTAGAGAGCTACCTTTGTCTCCGCTTTCTTTCACACATTCACACACTTCAAACTTCCCCCATCTCCGACCACCCCTCTTTCTAAATTTTCTGTATATTCTTTTAATTCCCTTTTTCATTCTCCATCCTCTCTCTTACCCCCCATTCATAGATATTTCACTCTCTACACTATGATTCTCTACCCACTGGGCCTCTCTGGAATATCTCAAGGTAACGTTGACATTATATATACGTTACATAGAAATATGGGACATATAAAATGATATACTCACAGCTTCCAAGTTTCAGAGGACATTTGATTTTACCCATAGGGTAACTGTGAAGATGCATTGGACACTTTGCGTTCACGGTCAGTCTGGAACGATAAATGAATCCGTCAGAAATTTGCAGATTGGTTTATTTTCATGCATGAAAGGTTCAGAGAATGCTTGCTGACAAACCTTCTACGAACTTTATTCCACAAATTTACGGTATGCTGTTGAGTGCGGCGTGAAACAAAAAAGAACAATACCAAACAAAAAACAGGATACTGTATCACGAAGAATGGTATTTAAGGTAATTACGATTTAAGTCTTAATCGCCAGCTTAGGATTATTTACTTATGGCACCTGCATCACTTCATCAAAAATACATTATTCGCAAACACCGGGTGTCACAATGATATATTCATAACATTTTACTTTTTTTGCCTGATTATTAACTGAATATTCTTGAAATAACGCTGAGTTTTATATTTAAGTCACTTACGATACGTTTATGATCGAACGCAATTCGTGAATGGTACTGCCTCCAAAGATGTTTCTCCACATGTTTCGAAGGAATTTGTTAAATTAAAACGTTTGGCTTAGTTCAACATTTGGTCAGCGTTGACTTGATACTGAAACAACTGGTAGTTTTAGCCCTCTGCATTTGACACCATAAACACTTGAAACGGACAAAAGCTGCTGGAAGCATCGGGCTTCATTGACGTCGGGGAAGATTCTGGTAAGAAATGATCTTGGAATCGTGTAGTCAGATGAATCTCATCATATCTCGATCAATGCTTATGGTCTTAGTCACTGAAACGTTTTGTCTAGAGTGCTTTCTTAAACGACAAACGAACAAAACAAAATATTTCTTAATCTAATGTTGCTGCTTGAAGTGGACACGATGATCTCCTTCCTTCAAATGATGCTTGTGAAACGAAGAGCCATTTCAAAACCAGCTGACTATATTAAGGAAACGGTAGAGGATACACGTATTTACAATCCGTTGTTAAATATGATACATCTGATCGTAAAGCCCTGGAGATACGTTTGTATCATGATCAAACGTGAAATGAAATTCCCTGAAACTGAGCCCTTATGTCTACCATCAAAGGTTAAAGGTGTATTTCAAAATGTAACAAGACATCCAAACAAACCGCCATAACAAAACCTGATCCATTATCGCATAATAGCATTTTCTGGAATCGGATCCAACTGTATTTTCCAGTTTTACAACACGTCACTGTATCCATTTACGTCTATTGTGCAAAACAGTATAGTAATAATGTTGTCGAACAATTATCCTAATATGCACCTGTCATTTTGGAATCTTTCGCAAAGATCCATAATTACGAAATGTTAGGGTTTTTTCTCAAGACAGCTGTCTTGTTTTTTGTATGACAAACGTCCATTGTGAATGCCGTTCCTTTCCCCGTTGAAATGCTCGAACTTCATAAGAATTTTAAATATAATTTAATGTACATTGAGGACTTCCAACGTGTTTCCAAACGAAACCTATCACTCGATGAGGTGTCCAGACACATATTAAATATCGTGATGACGAAATGCAATACCCAAACATGCTACATAGCAATTTTGATCATGCTCCAGGGAAATATCTGGAGGAATAATAACTCAGGTTAGACAGGTTCTACTGACTCCACTAGCCCTTATCGAGCATAGTTAACATTACGGTCTCATCGGACTTCCGGTCGTCTAACTTGGACTTACGTTGCCGTGCCCTGTCTCTGAGAATGCATGGGATTAATTACGTTATCTGATCTGAAATCATAAGACTGACATTGCTAGGGAGAATCTTGCGTGTGTCATGAGATCGTATTCTCATTTAATATCAGGTATAAAAGAACTAATGCCCTAAAGAGAATTAGTCTGGAAGTGAGACTGTTTCACAGCGTCCAGCCTTGCTTCATCACGTATGCCCATTGTAGATGATGCGTCAATATTGGATAGTCTAATTTAAGTTTTTGGACAAATACCAAGAAAAACGGTTTTCACATACATATACATATTCATCTCTTGCTGCAATTACAACTAATGATTATCGTAAATAAAATATTCATTTCATTCTCATCCTAATATACGGAATATAATGAAAATGTACTGTTTCCCTGATCAATATCATACTATTATGGACTTGGAAAATATTCGTATTAAAAGGACAAAGAAAACGTCTCTCACAAATGTAAATGTTAGGCCAAATACTGCTTATTCATAACGTTAAACTAGCATACTCTGTTTGGAACGACGCTTAATGAGATCATTACTGCCATGGGTTGAGTCTCAATAGGGAAATAAATGATTTGAATTCAGAAACCCAGTTTGTACATTAGGTTGTAATCAGCTTGTCAACCGCGGGAGATTTATGAAATAGCTATAATTCTGTATCAGAATGAGATACCAAAATTTGAATATTGAGTTTAGAACGTGACTGTGATGTGAGGACCATAATTGCCTTGTCGCTGTTATCTCATTTCAGAGATGCTATCAGAATTTCTGGCACATTGTGACACGTTAATCTCGCCTAGTAATCAGCACTTAAGTCTCTATTTATTAATCATATGAACATTGTCAGATTGTATGAATGATCTATTGTCTATGAAAACCGATCGTTACTCTGGGTCCCATCTGGCCAGGATGACTCGATGTAAGGTAAAGGCTTCTTCAAATTTGTAGTTGTGAAAGGTTTATGGTGAAATCAATCTGGTGCTAAATCTAACCTCTAGGTGTATTAGGCTTCGATGTTTAAAGAATTAAGATCGTTTCGCTCTTTCATCGAATTCGGAAGAAAATGTCCGACTACAAAGCAAAACGCTTCATCAAAGATGCATAAAAAAGATCGAGTTGAGCTCGGAGAAGTTTCAAATGGACTCATGTTTTTATATTAAGCTGGGGAAGTTTCGGGTCGACAGGTTAACAACGGGATTTGGCTACGGTTAAGAAACGGTTCCGTTTTAACGAGAGAACTATCAGGAACTTCATGTCGCTATTTCACTGCTGCGAAATCCGATCAATTGGAACTTGGTGGCATTTTACTGGTAGCAGCTGACACCATGCGCAATTAAATCCCATCTTTTCAAAAAGCTTGCCATTAAAACCAATACATCATTTGTCTCCTGCTTTGCGAAAAAACGATCTTTCTCTAGCGTGAGAAGAGATCGTGATTTCCAACGGCGGGGACTCCGCGTCCACTGATTCCTCTGTATCATTCTACTTCCGAATAAAGGAGTTACACATCCGTTGATTGGGGGAGTTTGCCGAACCTTCCCCAGGGTAAAGAAATCGGAAAATTTATCTTGAATGACACTTCCTTCACGGGACATACTTATATCATTGATCTATCATCTTTCAATAACCGCACAGAGGAGCCCCTTTATCAGGCTGCGGCGGTTGGTGAAATATGATTGAGAGGTTTCTGATCTATAGAACTTTCAATTCCGGGGAGCAGGACGGTCAGATCGCATCGATGGAGGTAATGCCACGCCGAAGTCTATTTTCTTGACAAGGACTTTCTGCTTTCGGTTTAAAGGGCAGGACATCGGCTGGCTCATTTCTAGAAGTGCAAAGAGCACAGGAATATGCTGCTAATGGCATGGTCTTTCCATTTCCTTCAGGATTGCATTTGAAGGAGTAATAAGACCTCAGCCCTCAACTTCAAACATCAATCGCTTGACTACCTTTTAAAGCGTTCCTGTGATATTCATCAGCTTTCATACCCATACAATCTCATGGGGATACTTTGGCAGCATTTGTCTAAATAGGTTATTGTCGTAAGTGTGATGGAATAAAAAGTGGATCGGATGGGGTTTCTGTGGCAGCTCTAGTCCCAAGTAGTTTATTGTCGTAAGAGTAGTAGAATAAAAAGTGGATCGGATGGAGTGTTTGTGGCAGCTCTAGTCCCAAATAGGATATTGGCGTAAAAATGATCGAATAAAACGGTGATCGGATGGGGTTTCTGTGGCAGCCTAAGCCCCAGGCAGTTTATTGTCGTAATAAAATAAAATGAGGATTGGGTGGACATTATATGTGACCTCTCTGCGTCATCCACCGATCAACATGGATCGTTGCTCATGCTGTTGACTTCTTTGCTTGTGTATAAGCCGAAGTCATTTACAGTAATACGGAAAACTATGGCATTCAACACTGCTCCATTTCTACTTGTCTCTAATGTGGACTTATCCACTCATTGTCTTAACCAAATACACTATCTCGGCCCGTTGATCGACTTTTCACACAATCCAATCATCGGTATTTTCACCTATAGTGTTTATTCGTAAATCCCTTATTCGTCAGTCCTTGATTCAATCTTTCCAGCATCCACGACGCGAGGCAAGTCAATCATACAGATAAGATCATACATATATATTGAAATCGCCAGATGATGATTGAGTGTGTCTACGGTTCTGGTAACGGCGTATACATCACCTTGACAACCTTGACATGTGACCAGTCAATTGAGAAATGATTTCAGATGACATGAGGTTCTATCCTTGCATTTTGGAATTCGTGGACAGTTGTACTTTTTGTCTCTATATTCAGCGAAAATGAGGACAACATACAATAAATTTCAAAATATTTGCTTTCGAATGACATGGAAATATCTTAGCAGGGTCGTTTTGTTTGTTTGTTTGTTTGTTTTTAACGCCGGAATCGGCAATATTCCAGCTACACGGCGGCGGTCTGAAAACCGAATCTGGACCAGTTAATCCAGTAAACAACAGCATGAGCACCCATCTACCAACTGGAATACGATGACATGTGTCAACCAAGTCAGTGAGTCTAACCTCCCGATTCTGTTAGTGGCCTTTTAGAAACAAACATGGGTTGATGCAGACCAATTCTAACCCGGATCTTCAGCGGTCTAAAAATAGCCGTACCTCTATTACATGCGTGTCACTGTGCCCTGATGTTTTGACAGACTCTTTGAAGCAGTAAGTGGAATCAAGAACTTGTCTTTTTCAGTAACTCTAAGCACATGTCTCCACTATGCTCAATGACCGATGACAAATACGATTCTGGTGTTAAAGCAGACAGATTTGAAATCCTTAGGATTCAAAGCGTCAGTTTCAACATGCCAACGTAGTTTTTTCGTAGGATGTAATCGACATAAATGTTAACAGATGCGATTGAAACGCACATCTAAGCACGTGTTTTCTTTAACTGAAATCCACAAAATAAAAAGGTAACTCTTTAAATCCGTCACACGCCAACGGTGACAAACGTGTAAAGATCCTCAATGACTGCTCGTGACTTAAATGGGAACAAAAAAAACCCAAAACAAATGAAAAGTTTATGGATTATTTCATATCCTAGCTGCAGAGACAACAGACGGACCTTCACAGCGATATATACGAGCCACGGTTGGCACATGTCCGTAGAACTGTGAATTTGATAAGCAGCAACTTAGTATATTTGCATTGCAGATGAACAAAAATAAATAAAAGACAACAATTGTCCGTAGTGCTAACATCCGTCAGACGATTGCAACCTAATAACCTAACAACTAAATGTATTTGTATTCCAGATGGCGAACATAAATATTTTCAAAAATGATAGCAATGTTAGCAAGCAAATGACTTCGAAATGTGACTTCTTCATGAATCTGGATTTACATCTGTTTTGAATTTGTGCAGCGAAGAAAATATGTTCTCACTAAGATTGGAACATTAGAATAATATTAAGGCGGGATTTGTATCATATTATACGGGCTTCGTGACCTGTACGTCATTGCGTTCTGGGTTCTCACACCCTTACCCTAAACACACCCCAAAACTACAGGCCGTAAATGAAACTATACTGGACAAAAATAGTTAGGGATGTATGTAAATTTTGAAATTATGAATAATGATATATTTTTTCTTTGACACACTGATAAAATATCAATAATAAAAATATCAATATCCCTAACTTATTTTGTCCAGTATATATGAATGTAAGATAAGTTTAAGCGTGCACCAAACAACATAAACATGATATAATCAACAATTCCAAAAGTGTGTAAAACTGTCAAAACTAAAGAACATTTTATGTAACATTGACGGGTAAATTCAGGAAAAGTAACTTATAATAAATTCCGGCTAAGAATAGCATCATTGTTAACAAATTCCTAAATGCGTGTAAATATTTGTCGTATACATCCATCATTTTGTTGATGGATGTACATCCCAAACATCAGAAGAGAACAAGGGAAGCGTGGCCCAGTCTATAATGAGTTAAATTACTTACACAAACCAATTTACAACGTTACTGTTGCATTCAGCTGGGCGACAGAATGGCCCAGGAGAGAACAGAGTCTCCGAAATTTAATTACATTTCAATCTGTTATTTCCAGAGAAGAAATGGACACCGGTGCGTCTCGCATATGGCAGACAATGTCTGCACGTTTCATTGCCAGGGGCACAGAAGCTTTGTTCAATTCCGCTCCTTTGTCACGCTTCCTTGTTCCCTAAACTCGACAGAGAGACACCGGATATCCGGTTTGCGGGATTTGCTTCCGGGCACCGGATATTAGACTCACCTTCGAGACATATACAGATGCCCGTCGTTTCGAATCCGAACAAATGCGTTGGGAACGGTGATGTTGTGAGCTTTGGAATTTTTGCCATTCAGGAAATAGGTGTTTGGTTTCCAAATATACTGAAGAAAACGATTGCTGAGGGTGAATTCAGTGACGTTGTCCATATGGAATTTGAGACGATCGTCGTGCCATCTCTGTCGGAGGTAGCACTGGAAGGAGTAATCCTGGGGAGAAAATTATAGATAAATATAAGAATGATTAGCTCTCTGTTTTTGCGTACACTGAAGTGTTTGTATTGCCAACTGACGCCCATATATAATTTACGGTGACCGAAATAGCGCTCGTGGCGGGGTGAGCGTTACTAGGCTGGAGATGTGAGCAAAGAGAAAGTTTGTTCCAAGGTCCAGAGGATGTTGTTTTAAGGGGCGGCGGAGCAGTATTAGATGAAGATGATGCGTTCTGCCATACATCTTTCCACATGCATTGATAACGAGTGAGTGAGTGTGGTTTTACGCCGCTTTTAGCAATATTCCAGCAATATCACTGTGGGGGACGCCAGAAATGGACAGCGACACAATCGTGCTCGTAAGTTCAATGTTTTGCACCTGCGACACTTTAAGACTTCCTCCGGCATTAGATTGACAGATCATGATATAAATTATGGCAAACTCGAACGTAACACCAGGCGATCCTGTATGGTAAGGGTGCACAACTCCAAGCAGTTGCACAGCACTAAATTCAGGACCAATTGTCCCATTAGGACTTTGGGAGAATGTATTTTTTAAATTTCAATATATGTTTGTGGAGTTTTCCGCCCTGGTGTAGCAGGCATATTGCTAAAAGTGGTGTACAACCTTATCACTCTACTATGGTCCAGAGTCCCATTGTGCAAAGCGGATCTAACTTATGATTGTGTTTAGCGTATGCTAGCAATTGGCAGATACGACCAATTTGATCGCTTTATGGAAAAGAGTCTGGGTCTTTTCCATGAATTTGTTACACGGCAATTTCTATTTGAAGCCAAACCTATTTAATGGAATTCTAACATAACATTCTCACGTTTTACTACACTAAAACAACTTAATAACAGTCTTTTACTATCTATGAAACATACGTACCGATTTAAGCACGTTCAGAGTATAAACTTGATTATCTATGCAAACCAAAGCAAATTAACAGCCTCTTTACTCATACGGACCAGGCGCTCCAGATGAAGTTAACATTCAGCGTGTTAAAAGACTGATAGAGAGACGGCAACGATCGACTCAGATAATGAATTTTGGGGGAATGTGTACAGTATTGCTTCAAGATGCAGCGACTGTGGCAACACAAGAAACACACTCAACAAGTAACTCTATCGTGTTAAATGATGCATACCGACTACAAACGTTCTTTAGCCCATAGTACCCAACTGCACTTGCTACACCCACTGCCATATTAGAGATAATCGACGGAGCAAAAACTTTCTGCGTCACCTTCTAAAACATCATCCATGTTTATTTTTCTGAGAGAGAAATGTGCGAAATTTACCCCATTCAAGTTGGTCCTCTTTGATAACATATCTGGTTTGAAGTCAAGCTCAAAGCGAACCTATGTAGTAGATACCACGAGTCTCCGTCAACTGATGTTTGAAAGTGCACATATTTCATAATCGTAATCAGGATGATATGCCAGTGGCGAAAAGATCCAACACAGCAAGTTATGCTTGTCGTTAGAGGCGACTGGCTCGATCAGTTTGTTTGTTTACTTTTTTTTCCATTTTTGGGTTTAATGCCGAACTCAGAAATATTCCAGCTATATGGCGGCGGTCTGTAAACACTCGAATCTGGACAAGACAATCCAGTTATCAAGAGCATATGCAACGATCTACGAAACTGAGATACGATGACATGTGTCAACCACGTCAGCGAGCCTGGCCACCTGATCCCGTTGGTCGCCCCTTTCGACATGCATGGATTGACTTCGGTTGCATGTCATCGTATCCCAGTTATGTAAAATCGATGCTCATGTTTTCAGTCTCTGGGTTGTCCGGATTAAACTCGAACAGACAGCCATCATATAGCTCGAACTAAACAACAAATAAACAAACAACTATTTCTGATAAGAACAAACAGACGCTTGATTGGCATTTTAGAAGATGATATTTGATGAACATAGAGATTTTTTCTGGGTTACATATTCTTTTTATTCTTGTATAACATGTATTCTATTAGCCATGTCATCTGTATCTATTGACCACCACATGTATTGCGTCGTCATAGCATTGTGACGTCATAAGCATTGTGACGTCACGGCCAGAGTTAACAGTTACTGTTCAGTTTTACCTGATGATGGGGCCAGAACAAGCCCTGAAACGTTGTACTCAAGAATAAAAAGAAGATGTAACCTAGAACAAATCTCTATGTTCAACAAACAGACATTTAAGAACAGCTGAAGATTCCAATGTCGATCAGAAAAAGCATACGCCCACACACATCTACAACTTCTCCATTTTAGAAAGAACAGTGGACTGAAATTATACTAGAAGATCAAATTTGACGACATTTGAAGATCATTACATACACCTACAGATAACGTACTGAAGCTGGCAAAAACTTAAATCATATTTCGTTTTATTTTCATTATTGATATCCACTATCATATTAAAATAAAAACAGAGCTTGAAATAGTTAACAAACATGAAACGTTTAAAATCAGTAACTAGAAGTCCTTGGGGCCGATGGAATTCGCATTAATAATGTATAAAAATGGACTTATTCGTCGTAACAGATACGCTGTTAATATGTTTACAGTTGTGTCGTAAAATACTTTGGTTCTTTCATTATACTTGATGGCATAAGCATACCAGCGGTCACATCTTACGGACACGCATGTAGTTGACCATAGTGGGGGATTAACGTAGTAGACCGTAGTAGACCCGTATTTGACCTTAGTTAAACGTAGTTAGACGTATTTACGCGGAGTCCAACGTAGACCACCGTAGTTAGGACTGTACTTTGAACTTCAGCAAACCCATGATTTGGCCGTGGTTAGACAAAAACAATTTTCAATATGTTCAAAGTATCTCTACGGTTAGTTTGAATGCTAAGACCCTACTGTTACCGTAGTTTGAATGTGGTTGAACGTGGTTGACCCTAGTTCTCCGTAGTAGACCGTAACTGACCCTACAGCACCGCTGTGTTGACCGTAGAACACCGTGGTAACATGGCACTGCGATATAACTACGGTTTACTACTACTTCGAAACTACTACACCCTACTTCAATCTAGTTAATCGTAGTGGCAAATACGATGAACTACGTTCAAATAAGTTACGGTCAACAACGTTCATGACCGTTAGAGGTGAGGTGAAATTGGATTTAACGTCGTGCTTGAGAATATTTAGCTCATATGACGACGTGCATGCGTGTGTATGTGCGGCTTCTTGTACTAGCCCAGACTTAAGCTGGTCTTATTGTGCTATCCCACTGAGATACCATGCCACAGTGAAGCATGAATACCCCACTCAGACACATTGTACTGACTCCGAGCCGACCAGCCCTTGTTGTACCCATTAATGCCTAGCGCCAGGCAGGGACCAACAAGTACCATATTTTAACGTCTTGTTGGTATGACGCGGTCGGGGATCGAACCCGCGACCTTCCGCTCTCCGGGCGGACGCTCTAACCACTACACCACGGAGGCGGTCTCATGACCGTTAGGTGTGACCGCGGCTATATAGCACATACTTTCTCTGTGGTGCCAAACACTTTCGTTGTATCCATAATAATCTCTTCGCTTTTCCAAAATTGCATATTGCACAACTAGTTCTATTTTAATGGCCATTGCCAATTAAAACTATCCTTCCGAACATGTTTACAAACTGTCGTTTCGTTTATTTCTGAAATGCCACATTTTCATTGACATTCAAATTATTTCATGTAATACATCAAAATTTGCTGTAATTGAGATTCAGTGTATCATATTTAAAGCGCTTCATCATATTATAGCCGTGGCATTATCAACCTCAAAACCGTAAACGATGAGATCGAGGAAAGACGAAAACAGCACATGGATGATCGCCCTTTGCAGATGACGTCATTGGTGATCGCTTTGACCTCGTGGAAATATTCCAAACTCCTTCAAGTTGTGCTGACAATCACAATGCTTTTAGCAGCATGTTCATTGATGCATGCGGCCAACATCTTATCAATCATGGCGTTAACAACCAATCATTTTTCAAAAGAATCGGGCCTCCCAGTGGGTTTACAGAACGCCAGAGGCAAACCTCCCTAAATACTTGTCAAGTTTTACACGACCCTCCACAAGGAACTTCAAATTCAGAAAGTAGATTTTATCTGAATCCAAAACTTTCGATCAATATTTCATCAGGATAGCTGTCCCTCCGAGAGTACGTTTCCTCATGTCCAAAATATCAACACATATTTTACCGACAGTGTTGTCAAAGATCATATTTCGTTGCACAAATTTCCACGCACTTCAGGTTCCTAAAACAGACATTGGTTTGCGTGGACTTAACCTGTCTTGCAGTAACGAATATTCAGTATACCATAACGGCTTATGCTATACGAAGAACACATGTGGCCTTGTCGTATAAGATGCTGCAGTGCGGTTGTCTTTGAAGCGTCCCTCAGGCATTGGAAAATCATGTGGAGACTGGGATTGTCGGTACATTACTCGTGCGCGTGGAATTTACCAACCTAAGACATTAAAGACAAGCTGACATGCCGTGATATTGTGATGATCGCAATAATGCATGTTATCTTGGCTTGCTTAAGGCGATCGATCCTGTGTTGGAATGGATCCATATATCTGATATCTTGATTGTAAATAAAAACGATAAAATCATTACTATTATAGCAAGAAATCGCTTCTAAAAGCAAAATCGTTTATGCGACTTAGACTTTATAACAGCAATTTGTGTTTCTGGTGTCAAATAGTCACCCGTGAAGATCAGGGTTAGAATTGGTCTTCAGCAACCCATGCTTGTCGTAAGAGGCGACTAACGGGATCGGGTAGTCAGGCTCGCTGATTTGGTCGACACATCATCGTATCCCAATTGCGTAGATCGATGCTCATGATGTTGATCCCTGCACTGTCTGGTAAAGCCTCGATTATATACAGCCGCCGCCATAAAGCTGGAATATTGCTGAGTGCGGTGGAATATGGAATATGAACATCACTCTTCTAATGTATAAGGACCTACCAATGTAGCACAGGAAAATTCTACGCATCAGTATGTATAGTGTGCACCATAACAGGCTGCTTAAATTCAGACAAGATAATACTCCGCCAACGGTAATGATAATGGCGTCATAACAACAGGGCAGATAAGCCGTTCTGATGCGTCGAAATCTGATCGAGTTGCGGCACTTAATCTATAACCCGATTATGCTTCATTAAACCAGTCAACCTTAAGATTAATGTTTATATTAAGATAGCATGCATTTATTGTCAAAAAAACGGCAAGACATTATTTTTTTTTCTGAGAGCCTGCCTGATATCGTTTTGTCCTGTAACCGCATGCAACGAAAGTGCAGGAATGCGTACTTTATTCTGCCGTTACAGTGTCTAAGTTAATTACAGAGTAAAAGTATGTTTTTATATGCATCTTATGTCCATTTCATCGGATGGCGTGTGATGGCGCAGTCCATGTTCCGGAGACAAACAAATGACATCTCTGATACGGTGTTAGTGAGTATGGTTTTACGCCGCTTTTAGCAATATTCCAGCAATATCACGGCGGGGACACCAGAAATGGGCTTCACGCATTGTTCCCATGTGGGGAATCGAAACTGGGTCATGGGTTTGAAGAGCCAACGCTGTAACAACAAGGCCCCCCCCCCCAACTTCCTCTGAGTTGGGGATGGGCAATGTGTGAGGGGTTAAGTGGTGTACCACGACGATGTTGACATTTCTAATCAAATCTGCTAAAGACAACGTGGATAGTTATAAAATATTATGTTCAATCAACATATTATTTCCCATCAATGACTACTCTCATACCCCGTCAACCCTATCTAAATCTCGACTGCAATTAGAACAAACAAACGATGCCACGCAGGTTAGAAATGGTCGTCGCCTTAAGGGGCAATAACAATATTTTATCCGTAATCTGATATTGGGTTGTCAAATTATATTTTGACCTCGGATGACCTTGTCTATTGGTTTGATTGATAGTGATGTCGATTTCTGTAATATATCACCGCAATTGACAAGCATCAAGAAGCTTCTGCAGCTAACGTATTACATAGGAACTACCGCGGTAATGTTAACGTGTAATATCGAACCTAATTGATGGGCGATTCAGGCTTTGATGTTGATTCTATAAGACTGAATTATATCTCGATGACCTCATTGTGAAAGTAGAATTACATTTCTGACTCTATAGCTTTTAGAACGTCGTACATATAAGATTAACCAGGATTGTACCCGGAAGGATTAATTGCTGTAGTTAACACAAATTAATTAGAAATTACATTATCGTTTTCCTATTACACTCATATCAGCGTTTCATGATGCCATTCGTGACATACAAGGCGTCGTCAATATTTAGAAACTGTAAAGGATTTCATGTTATGAAAGGATAATCGTTTTTTCCCGGTATTGGAGAAACGGAGAAACGGTGTCTCGTTTTCCCCTTAATGATACAATTATCTCAAAGTGAATTAGCTAACGGTATTTGTTAGTACTTGCAAATGTGTGTGATGTTTATAACAATGTTGACCATGCATTCTTTTGATTGAATGTATTGATAATGGTACGATGCTACGTAACCGTGAACATGAGCGCAGATTGCTTGACCAGGATTTGGAAGCAGCTTGACCATATGGTATCAGACAACAACACTGTGACGAATGGATGACCATGCTGATTACATGTCACACGCTTGACCAGGATTTGGAAGCAGCATACATGTCACACGCTTGACCATAAAACGATGGGTGTGAACGGTGGGATGATCATATAATGACCATGTGATGATAACATAAAATTATGATGAACCTAGTTACCATGGATTCAACACTTAATATGCATGCTAGTTCAGTGCTTATGCTGTCACCCTCTGGTTTGCCAACACAGCCATTGGTGGCAACCTAGGACATATTGACAGCTATTCGTTTGCCATCGCATCAATTCCTTTGCACACACGTGTGCACTACGAAATACACTGACTGACTGACTGAGTTTAGTTTTACGCCGCTTTTAGCAATATTCCAGCAATATCACGGCGGGGGACACAAGAAATGGGCTTCACACATTGTGCCCATGTGCGGAATCGAACCCGGGTCTTCGGCGTGACGAGCCAACGCTTTAACCATTAGGCTACCCCACCGCCCCCCGAAATACACACCCAGTATGATCTGCACTACTGTCTTTTCCAAAAGTGATCATTAATATAGCAGGGTTATATTCGCCTTGAATAGCTGAAATTATTCGATAAGCATACACAAGCATATGGAGAGCTTAGCTATGTCTCATATACATAAGGATAGGTTAATAGTCAGTGAGTTTAGTTTTACGCCGCTTTTAGCAATATTTTAGCAATATTACGGAGAGGGACACCAGAAATAATCATCACACATTGTTCCCATGTGGGGAATCGAACCCGGATCTTCGGCGTGACGAGCGAACGCTTTAACCACTAGGCCACCCATCGCCCCTATAGGGTAATACAATAGCTGGTAACGCTAGTGTGAAATGAAGTTTCATACAACAATGTACATAAACCAATTAGGATTCAAAATGTCTCACCATTTCCATTTCCGAGATCTTTCCAAAACTTCTTATAGAGACGTGGGTCTCGATTAGTACAGGCTCATCTGAAATATGAAAGCAAGAGTCAAACTAACTAACTGTACAACTAATAATTAATCATATCTTGTTCAGTTTCATGACATTTGATCTGATAAGACTGACACGTTCAAGTGGTATTTGCCGAAGAGCAAACTGTCACGTTGAATATTCGATCTGCAAAGATATGCTCCTTAAAGTTGAAGTAAATAATTGATCAGTGTTATAACGTGAACAACGTCAGCTTCGATTGTTCAAAAGCCACATTCTCTGTTCGAAAAACCCTGTTCCTTGACACAGGGATGCTGAAAGAAAATACAGAGACAAACAGAAGGGAATGTTCTTGTCACTCAAGGCCGTTTTACACGACACCCAAGAGCCCCAGGTGCTTTAAATCGCCATCAGAGCCTCGCTAAAAGACATATATTCGTTACTTTTTACACTTTCATAGTTCGTTTTAAGACTGTGATTGTTAAGAAACTCATTTTGACATAATATTGGCTGACGCCGTCACGGGTCACTCTTAGGTCGGAGTATTGGACGTGGTTAGGGATTCAATGAACATTTAACTGGGATTTAACTCGTTGTGTCTACGACATTTGAAACGCCGCAATAAGACTGCTTGAAAATGTCAGATTGAACGATTAGAGCATGTGGATAGACCGTACTTAAACTTGCCTGTAACCATTATCTGATAAAATGTCAGTTCATACTTTTAAGTATTAGGTTGCCTATAATTTCGAAATTCACAAAAAAAACTTCTTTGTAGCCTTTAGAAGTTGGAGGACTAAGTAAGGATGAACAATTTTTTATTACAAATAGGAACGTCGTTTCGGGCAGGTTCTAACACCATTGCCCAGCTTACACCGAAGCGTCGTTCCTAATTGTAATAATGCAGATGCTCATTCATATATCTTATCCTTAAAACCATAAATTAATGGTAATAAATTCAGTGACATTTGGAGTTCGGGGGACCATTTGTGTAACGTTCATTGAAATTCGCTGAGCAGAGTTGCGCCCCTTGGGACCTATGATCGTTGGTTCGTATCTGGTCTTTTTAGGTTTGTCTACTCACTCACTCACTCACTCAGTCACTCAAATTTTATTTTAATGGATATTTGATGAATAAGCCGGGTTAATCTTTCATTCACAACCCGTAACTAAAGGTTAAGGTTAACATTCTTATCATATCATGTAATGCAAAACCTTCAAAGCAATGATGATCATCAGAAAAAAAGGAAATTTAACAAGTCAGCTATAATATGATTATTCTATAACACCTCATGATAAATGGGGGCGGTGGGGTAGCCTAGTGATTAAAGTGTTCGCTCGTCACGCCAAAGACCCTGGTTCGATTCCCACATGGGCACAATGCGTGAAGCCCATTTCTGGTGTCCTCCGCCGTGATATTGCAGGAATATTGCTAAAAGCGTTGTAAAAGCATACTCACCCACTCACCCACTTATTCACTCACTCACTCGTTCCCTACATGTCTGCAGAAACATTGAAATCGTTTGGTTTAAATTGTTCACTTCTAACTCTTTAAGCCCAATTTCAATACAATGTGTACATACCGATTCATGACGTACAACACAAAAACGGAAGGAAAGGTACATTCATACTTAATCACACAGATTCGTACGTTATAAAAATACGTAATTCGTACGTTGTTGCCTGAATGCAGTTAAATACTCATGCCAATAATGGTTGTCACCCCCCTCCACCACAGTCATCTCCACTTAAAAAAATTGAAGGGGGTGACAACCATTATTGGCATGAGTATATTTGTAAAAGATACAGTTTTACTGCATGTTCAATCAAATTCGTGTCTCTTTTCCAACAGAACAACGAGTCACTACAAGACCCTACCATGACTCTCATCTGAACGCAGATTTAGTTGAGACTGGTGAAAAATATCATGTCTCAAGGCATACAAGTAAGTGTTCGTTATTTGGCATTAACAACACCATAAATCTCTTTGTTGAAGAAAGGGATTAACTTATTCCATTAATGAATAAGTAATACAGTGCGTTTTCCTCTTTAATTGCAATGGCGTCGCATTAGCACGATCTTGACGTTTCCGTGTCATTAGAAGTGTTACGTGTACCACTCTGAGATAATTCATCACCATGTTTAAAGCACCATCATCGTCTCCGGCAGTCTAGACGCTGGGACAAGGCTCCACTGAGCCATGTGACCATCCAAAGTGACCGTTACTGTGATACCCCTAATAACATTACTTTAGATTTGTTTTATGCGAGCGAAAGGTGACGCAAAGTGCAAACGGCCAACACTAAACCAAAGGATAATTAATCTCGACAACGTCGACTTTCCACAATAGCTCCTATCTACGGACAGGCGATCTTATCGCTTTGTTTATATCACTTTGATCCTGACCTACGAATAAACATTGTACAGTTGCATCAAAAAGCTGTAATTTACGTTTCTATATTTCAAACAGTGTGACGGAACTTTCCTCTTAAGTCTTTGAACTTAACGGTTGTACGATCGATACGATGTGGTATCTTAGATCTTATACAAGACATAATAAAATAGGCGGGGTACAAGCAATAACGAGAATTTATCAGATTCCTTATGAACATAACTCTGATTTCGTTAAAACAAAGTGCATCATTGTCATGAACTGTTGTGAAAATTTAGGGTTTCATAGCTGAAATTGGCCTTGGACGGTCAATAAAATCAACCTTGGACTACAGCTGAGTTGATAGTAAACTTTGTATACACTGAAAGATAAACGCTGTCTTTGGTCTTCGTCCAGATAAAACACGGCATGGTGTATCAACTGGGTGCTTTTCACACATTAGCTTGATGAAAAGCGATTCCCAGAATAGCATAGCATAAATCGTAGCGTGGACACGCAAGGCGGGCAAAACAGTCTCCGATAAGAAGCGGTGTGAGCCTGACGCTGACTATCGTTGTCGCTGCTTGATCGCAGTCTATGCATGTATGTAATTAGGTGCGTCAAGCCACAGGAATTGTTCAACTCGTGTCTCTCACAGTGGAATTATAGGACGTTTAACCCGGGAACGACATATCAGATAGGCGCGTTAACATGGGACAGTGAAAGGTTAACTTGATGGTGATGCGTTGTGATTTTTGTTTTGTTTTAACGCAACAGTTGGTATTTGCCAGCTATCTGGGATGACAAGAATAGATGACTCTGGACAAGTCACAAACCCTGGCTACAAAGTGACATTGTACTGTGCTACAAGCTACAAGGTACTTGACATTTACTCTGACCGGATGCCCAGAAGGAGTGAGTGAGTGAGTGAGTGTGGCTTAACGCCGCTTTTAGCAATATTCCAGCAATATCACGGCGGGTGGCTTAAACATGTATTTGACTGTTGAACTCTTATTGATATGATAAAAGAGTTCAGATTTATGAATCATCCTAATTTTAACTGAGGCATTATAACTACAGTTTCTAAAATGTCTGTGAAAGATATAGGTAGAAGTTGGCTAACTACATGTACGTACAAGTACATGTATTTAATGACAATCAACAGTGAAGCCTTAAGAACATATTTTAATAATTCATTGTTGACACGTATTGAATATAATTTCAGATGAAACATTATTATTATATACAATATTGATTTCATAACAACTAATTTATAAGTAATTAGATCGGATGTACAGAAGCTCTGAAAAATCAAGGCTCATAGCAGTGAGTGAGTGAATATGGTTTTACGCCGTTTTAGCGCTCAGATATTCCAGCACTATCACGACAGGGGACACCAGAAATGGGTTTGATCATTGCTCGTATGTGGGGAATCGAACTCGGGTTTTCGGCGTGACAAACGAACGCTTTAACCACGAGACTACCCACCGCCACAAGGCTCTTAACAGAAAATGTTCACAACAAAAAGTCTAAAAAAATACAAACTATGTAAGTGAGCTTTTTAGAGGACATGGTACGTCACTAAAAATAGAAAAATACCATTTAAAAATTGTGATAAATCAAAGTATTACTTTGACAGTCCATTTCAGCATTTAACATTTTCCCGCGTCGGCAGACCTTGACAACGCAAAGTAGGTTTGCATAGAACAGTATTGTTCGTGGCAGTACCAGGAGAAAAAACAGAAATCTTTGAGTACATAAGTGGTTTTCCTGTGAGGAAGCTTGCAAAGGCAATTCATCGCGGCGTCACATTTGGTTTCCCGTAGCAAGAAATATAACCACTTAACTCAGAAATTGCATTCTCTTGGCTCCAATAGTGTAGATAAAGGGCTGTGTTCCGTGGGTCAGAGGCAGTGACTAGCACCGTGTAAATATCCCGCACTCTGATCGATGGGACAAGAGTGTTGATGGCATGCTACTCGATAATGTGTATGTTTCACAAAAGCCCCAGACTTGCTCATTGCAGCCTTCTCCGATTCGCCTATGAGATTGCTGTCAGCCTTGACAGGCCTATGTTTGTTATTGCCAGCAGAGTGATGTCCATTTCAGTCAGCGCGATGACAAATGAAATCAAGAGTGACGTATATCAAAGACTGGTCAAGAACACTTAATGACAAGCGTGTTGTAAGACGTATACATTCACCTTCTGATTTCCGGGATATTTTGTAAAAAAAATGTAATTATGAGAATGTCCATTGCAGGATATGTGATAACAAACGAAATTAATGGTACTTTTTTATCAAGGATTGGCCCAAAATACTTAATATCAATGCGTCTTTTTACTTTATGATCACTGTTTAATTGTAAATTCGTTTTAGCCTTATGGATGTCGATTTCAGGTTAATCGATAACACATGAAATAAACATGCACATCAAAGAGACCATGACATGCGAGTCTATGTACGTTATAATTAATGTTTGTTTTATGTATTTAAGGTTGTCCATTCGAGGGCGTTTATAGTGGCAATGATTCCCCTGATATTTCAGCTTTCATTTTAACCCCACCATTTCCTAATTAAATGGTTAACCGCCGGTGTTTATATCAATAGAGACCGCCTCCGTGGTGTAGTGGTTAGAGCGTCCGCCCGGAGAGCGGGAGGTCGCGGG